TTAAATCCCTTTTTTTCAGTGCTGTGGTAACTTTGAACAGTCACTAACCAGCTGTTGTAAGCTGAGGACTTAACCTGTATTGCAAAAACAATCATTTACTGAAGTCCCATCATTAATGGAGTGGTGCAAAAGCCGAGTGCTTAAAAACTTCACACGTTCCTTAGTGCTTTAAACAACATTTCAACATCTTTCTCCAGCTGCTACTTGGGGGAAGCTGGTCTTCTGTATGCTTTCTGCCAAAAAATGCAGCAAGCTTGCACTTCATCAGCTTTATGACTTCCTCAGGAATCTCTATTTTCCCCTGCAGTATTACTTTCTGCCTAATTGAATTCCGACACAACTGGAGATCACCTCTGGCTGGACAAGAGCCAGGACTGCTGGTTTTACTTAAAATGTCTTCACCCAAAAAGTTGAGTCCGCTGGCTTTGATCCTTTTTAACTCGAAGAAGCTTGGAGCAGGCCTTATCAAACCAATGTCCTTTGGAATAGAGAATGGAATAGAGAATGGAATAAGAATAGAATAGAATGGAATAAGAATAGAATAGAATAGAATAGAATAGAATAGAATAGAATAGAATAGAATAGAATAGAATAGAATAGAATAGAATAGAATAGAGAATGGAATGGAATGGAATGGAATGGAATAGAGCAGACATGTCAAACACAAGGCCCGGGGGCTGAATGCGGCCCCGCGAAGTGGTTTCATGTGACCTGCTTAATTAAGAATTAAAATTTAAGCAGTTGCTTCTCCAGAGCATCTGAGAGTGGGACGAGAAGCAAGGGATGGAAACTAACCAAGGAGAGAAGAAGCAACCTAGAAATAAGGAGAAATTTCCTGTCAGTGAAAACAATTAATCAGTAGAACAACCTGCCTCCAGAAGTGGTGAATGCTCCAACACTGGAAGTTTTTAAGAAGAGACTGGACAGTCATTTGTCTGAAATGGGATAGGGTTTCCTGCCTGAGGTGGGGGTTGGACTAGAAGACCTTCAAGGTCCCTTCTAACTTTGTTATTTTATTCTATTCTATTCTATTCCATTCTATTCTATTCTATTCTAATCTAATCTAATCTATTCTATTCCACTTTATAACAGAAAGAATTATGCACCAGCTATTCTTTTCTTTTTCAATTCCTAGCCTGAAAATTCATTTAAATTTTTCATTGATTCTGCAAAGCATATGGTAGAGCCTGGGACTTTTCATCTTCCATGATTGTGGCCGGTGAATTCAACGTGCTTTTTATGTGGCAGGGGACTTTCCATTTCACCCCAGGGAAAAGTAGTGGCATTAATTTAATCTCCTTGTGAATTATGCCTTGCTTGGTAATACAACAATTTAAAATTACTGTATAGCTAAATTATCTACATTTTTAAAAAAAAAAAGAATCAGTGAGCTATCAAATATTAAGAAATCCCCATAGGTATTTTATTTTAATTAAAAAAGATGTGAGAAAAAAGGGAGGCTCTGATTAAAAATGGGGAATATATATTTGCAGAGTGAGAACTGGGCAGTTTTGCATTGAAACTATTTCCAAAATAGCAGGAAAAGACAAGACAAATTCGTACGTCGTTCCTGAGTCAATGAACTGCTAACCTGTTTGTCCAAGAAGCTAAATCAGTGGATGTGCTAAATTGCCTGATCTTAAATGTCTTATTGGCAGGACTAGAAGGTTTCTATTAGCAGAAGAAATCCTTTTTAGTTTTAATATTTCATAGTCATATATTGAAATTATATTTCAAGAAAATGATCCTGGACAGACCTGAGGAAGGTTTTTTTTTTTTTTTTGCAGCACCGTTTAGCTTGTTTGAGGAACATAATTGCATTTAGACCAAGGTCTTATGAAGGAAACAGCTGACTAAATTAATATTAACCACGTTCCTGTGGGGCTCGCTGCATTGTGGGTAGACAATTTTGCCTCTGGAAAGGACAGGTTGACCTAAGAGGGACCATATGTTGAGAAGGCACAGCATTAATTGATTTTCCCAAAAGGGGTAAATGTAATCACTTGGGAGGAGAAATGAAAGACAAAGTAGAGCTTAATTGCTTCATAATTTTTCATCCTTCTTCACTCCCTTCAACCAAGTGCAGATAGCCCTGGGCTATCCCACGATTCTTTCAAACCCAAGTTTAGGTCGGGATGGGTCTACTCGGAGCTGAGAATAAGACGAAAAACTCAATTTACCCACTTTGAAATGTAGATAGCTTCCTGTTGGCATCTTTCCTGCATAGATCACCTGCTACAGGGATTCCTTGACTTAAGACCACAGCTGGGCCCAAAATTTCCGTTGCTAAGCAAGACAGTTGTTAAGTCCTTAAGAACTTAAGAGTCAGGCCACACTTGGAATACTTGCATCCAGTTTTGGTCACCACATTATAACAAAGATGGTGAGACTTTGTAAAAAAAAATTCAGAGAAGAGCAACTAAGATGATTAAAAGCCTGGAGACAAAAACATACGAAGAACGGCTGCAGGACTTGGGTTTGGCTAATCCAGGGGTAGGCAACCTTGGCTCTTTTATGACTCATGGACTTCAACTCCCAGAATTCCTAGTCAGCATGGGGGAACCATGGCCCCTTTATGACTTGGGGACTTCAACTCCCAGAATTCCTGAGTCAGCATAGTCCACAAGTCATGAAGGGGATATAGTTCCCCCATGCTGGCTGAGGAATTCTGGGAGTTGAAGTCTGCAAGTCATGAAGGGACCAAAGTTTCCCCCATGCTGGCAGAATTCTGGGAGTTGAAGTCCACGAGTCATGAAGGAGCCATAGTTCCCCCATGCTGGCTGAGGAATTCTGGGAGTTGAAGTCCTCAAATTATGAAGGGGCCATCGTTCCCCCCATGCTGGCTGAGGAATTCTGGGAGTTGAAGTTCGCAAGTCATGAACAGGCCATAGTTCCCCCATGCTGGCTCAGGAATTCTGGGAGTTGAAGTCCACAAGTCATAAAAGAGCCAAGATTGCCTACCCCTCGGCTAGTCTAAAGAAAAAAAGAAACAGGGGTGACATGACAGCAGTGTTCCAGTATTTGATGGGCTGTCACAGAAGAAGGGAGTCAATCTATTCTCCAAAGCACCTGAAGGCAGGACAAGAAATAACGGATGGAAACTAACCAAGGAGAGAAGCAACCTGGAATTAAGGAGGAATTTCCTGACAGTCAGAACAATTAATCAGGGGAACAACCTGCCTCCAGAAGTTGTGAATGCTCCAACACTGGAGGTTTTTAAGAAGAGACTGGACAACCATTTGTCTGAAATGGTATAGGTTCTCCTGCTTGAGCAGGGGGTTGGACTAGCCCAGTGGTTCTTAACCTTTTTGAACGAATCGCCCCCTTGAGCCAATGAGGAAGTTGTCATCGCCCCCCTCCCCCAACATAACCTCTCAATCACAACATAGGAAATAAATTTTCTTTAAAATTGTCATCAGGACATATGATGCAAATAATTTATTTCCAGTCTTTTTCCCATATCTCAACGGTGTGAAAAATTTTGGTGCCACCCGTCACTTTATTCCCAAACTTCGTGATACATGTATTTCATTATTATCTTACTTATTAAATGTAATGACCACTGAAAACAAAACACTGGGAGCCGCAAATCCCTTTTGACATCTAAAATGAAGACAATGCTGCCTATATCCTTTTTTTACCTTTATTATTTATATATATCTTCAGTGTTATCTTCATTTTAGATGTCAAAAGGGTCTCTCTCTCTCTCTCTCTCTCTCTCTCTCTCCCCCTCTTTCTGCCCTTGGTCTACCAGTCCTCTTCCCCCACATGTGTGTGTGTGTATGAGAGAGAGAGAGAGAGAGATGACAGATTTAAACATTTCCCCATAAAAGCAGACTTTCTGCACATTAAAAACCAGAAACTGAGGACATTCCAAGTTCGCATGTGGTATACGCTGGATTAGAAAACAGCCCCTTTTTATTCTGCTGTTTGCATCACTTAGGAGCTGGTCCTGCAAACGGCATCTCCTAATTTTAAAGAATTGAACATTGCCTATGTAAACAGAATGAACTTCAGATAAATTCTCGACTTACAACCATTAACTGAATCCAAAATTTCATGGCTGACAAGGCAGTTGTTAAGTGAGTTTTGCCCTGTTTTATGACCTTTCTTGCCACAATTGTTAAGCAAACCAACACGATTATTAAATGAATCACAGAGTCATTAAGCAAATCACCCTCTCCCTTTCTTCCTTCTCTTCTATCTCTCTCCTTCCTTCCCTCTTTCCTATCTTTTTTCTCCCGTCATTCCACTCTTTCTCTCACTTCCCTCCCTTCCTCTTTTCTATTTTCATTCTTTCCTTCTTCTTTTTTATCACGCTTTTTCTTCCATCCATCCATTATCCCTCTCCTTTTCGTATTTCCTTCCTTCCTTCCTTCCTTCCTTCCTTCCTTCCTTCCTTCCTTCCTTCCTTCCTTCCTTCCTTCCTTCCTTCCTTCCTTCCTTCCTTCCAGTGTTCAGTCATTTTAGACTCAACTCAGCTTTATCCAAGATATGTTTCTTCTCTCTTTTATTCTTTTTTTCTCTTTTTGCTCTATATCATATATGGTATTAAAACTGCCTTTTGATCAAGTGCAAACCAGGAGAGAGATCTGAAGTCCTATATCTAAGGGCAGTTTATGGCGCTGTAGTCTACACTGGTATTGTAACAGTTGTTTTAGAATCACAGGCAAGAGACTGTCTGATCCCTACCTGGAAAATGAAATTACCCATAACAAATCTGAACTGAACATGCAGAACCGAAGGTATCATTGGTGGGAACATAAAGACTTTAACGTTCATTGCGTGCAAATAAAATAAAATAAAATAAAATCTAGCGAAGCATCATCACACAGAGATTCAGGCCCAGCAGCAACTGATGATGTTATAGGGGCCTAAAGGAAGAGTCTGTGGTGAATCCATCCTGGCCCCGTGTCAGGAATCCATGTTCGTCACTTGCAAAGTCTTCTCCTTGTTTCACTCCTTTCAACTTCGTTGTTTTTTGTTTTATTTCCTTGCAGACACCCTTGTGTCATCCGCGGGCAGGTGATGACAGCAGATGGAACCCCTCTGGTTGGCGTGAACATCAGCTTTGTCAACAATCCCCTTTTTGGCTACACCATCAGCAGACAAGATGGCAGGTATGTTGAACCCCTTTTCTTGAGTTGCGGGAAGTCAACATTGGCTCCCGCTTTTGGATGAATACTAGATAAATAATGCCTTGGTGAGGCCATACTTGGAATCCTGCATCCAGTTTTTGGTCACCATGATGTAAAAAAAGATGTTGAGACTCTGGAAAGAGGGCAGAGAAGAGCCACAAAGATGATCAGGGGACTGGAGGCTAAAACATACAAGGAATGGTTGCAGGAATTGGGTATGTCTAGTTTAATGAAGAGAAGGACGAGGGGGGACATGATAGCAGTGTTCCAGTATCTCAGGGGCTGTCACAAAGAAGAGGGAATCAAGCTATTCTCCAAAGCGCCTGAAGGCAGGACAAGAAGCAATGGACGGAAACTAATCAAGGAGAGAAGCAACCTAGAACTAAGGAGAAACTTCCTGACAGTTAGAACAATTAATCAGTAGAACAATTTGCTCCAACACTGGAAGTTTTTAAAAAGAGATTGGACAATGATTTGTCTGAAATGGTATAGGGTTTCCTGCCTGAGCAGGGGGTTGGACTAGAAGACCTCCAAGGTCCCTTCCATTTGTATTATTCTATTCTATGCCATGCCATGCCATGCCATATTCTGTTTCATTTTGTTCCATATTCTATTCTGTTCTCTTCTATTCCATTCCATATTCTATTCCATTCCATATTCTATTCTATTCTATTCTTAACATTAGGAAGTTTTATAGGGCAGAAAATGGTTACTCAAAATACTTTTGAGAAAGTTCCAATTGTGTCTAGCATTCCTACATAATATACTGTAACTGCCCTAATTTAACCAGCTAGACTAAGACTGAAGGCTATAACAGTTGGGGTCTCCTTGTCAGCGTCGGAGCTTATGCATAAAAAGGCCATGTCGGTGGTAAGCATTCAGCGCATGGATTACGCACTAGCAAGTCAAAGTCGACTCTTAACAGCCCGAATGATAGGATTTCTCCAGTGGACATGTAGCACATCTTTATGGAATGCTGGTTTGTTTTGTATTAATTCATCCCACTGAAAGCCCAGATTTCTTGCACCTTTGAACATGCACCTTCGTAAGAGTTGGGTAGCAAGAAAGGAGCAATTAAAAAGCAGTTAGCTGAGCCAGCTCAGATGATTCTGGAAGGGAAGCAACGGATACACCCATCCAGTTGTGCTGCATCTGGAACTTTTCCATTGGTATAGATTTTGGCTATTGAGATTCTGTCTCTGGGAACTGGAGTCCTAGTGGACAATCCCTTAAATATGAGCCAGCCGTGTGCTGCAGCCACCAAAAAAGCCAACACAGTGATGGGCTGCATTAACAGAAGGATAGAATCAAGATCATGTGAAGCATTGATACCACTTTATAATGCCTTGGTAAGGCCACACTTGGAATACTGCATCCAGTTTTGGTCACCCTGATGTAAAAAAGATGTTGAGATTCTAGAACAGTGGTTCTCAACCTTTCTAATGCCGCGACCCCATAATACAGTTCCCCATGTTGTGGTGACCTCCAACCACTTATACATCACCAGGTGCCAGGGGTGTGGCCAAAGAAAAGGGGGAAAAAATGGAGGACAGCCTTGTTTGGTGACCCCCGTGAAATGGTCATTCGACCCCAAATGGGGTCCCGACCCACAGGTTGAGAACCACTGTTCTAGAAAGAGGGCAGAGAAGAGCAACAAAGATTATCAGGGGACTGGAGGATAAAACAAATAAGGAACAGTTGCAGGAATTGGGTATGTCTGGTTTAATAACTGAATAAGAGAATAACAGAGTTGGAAGGGACCTTGGAGGTCTTCTAGTCCAACCCCCTGCTTAGGCAGGAAACCCTATACCATTTCAGACAAATGGCTGTCCAATCTCTTCTTAAAAACTTCCAGCATTGGAAGATTTACAACTCCTGGAGGCAAGTCACTCTACTGATTAATTGTTCTAACAGTCAGGAAATTTCTCCTTAGTTCTAGGTTGCTTCTCTCCTTGGTTAGTTTCCATCCGTTGCTTCTTCTCCTTCTTTGTGGCAACCCCTGAGATATTGGAAGACTGCTATCATGTCACCCCTAGTTCTTCTTTTTATTATGGAAAAAAAGTACTAGGGGTGACATGACAGCAGTGTTCCAATGTTTGAAGGAGGGCTATCACAGAGAAGAGGGAGTCAAGCTATTCTCCAAAGCACCTGAAGGAAGGACAAGAAGCAATGGATGGAAACTAATCAAGGAGAGAACCAAACCTAGAATTAAGGAGAAATGTCCTGACAGTTAGAACAATTAATCAGTGGAACAGTTTATCTCCAGAAGCTGTGGCTGCTCCATCACTGGAGATTTTTAAGAAGAGTCTGGACAGCCATTTGTTTGAAATGGTATAAGGTTCTCTTTCTGAGCAAGTGGTTGGACTAGAAGACCTTCAAGATCTCTTCCAACCCTTGTTATTCTGTTATTCTCCAGATCTCAAGAGAAAAGGAATTTTTTTTGTTCGTTACCGATGTGCTTTGCATCAACACTTTGGAAACATCTGCATACAGCAGCAGCAAAGACCAGTCTTTGTGTTTGTGGGTGGGTGTGTTTAAACAACTGGACCTTGAAGGAGTCTGATCAAATGACAGGAAAACATTCCATCCTTTGTCAAGGGGATTGTGGTCCCAACAGAAACATCCATTTTGTCAGGCAGTAGAAATGATCCTTTTAATATATGAAAAGGACTCTTTTTAATTATCTTTCTAGTCTCTGATGAGAATTAATTGACTAAACTTGATAATATCAAGTTCCCAGACCAGAATTCCCTAATAAAATCTTAGTTTCCCAACCTGAAAGGTGTCTTAACTTGTCTGTGAAGCTTTGAATTGACCTGGTCTCTTGGACCATGCTAGATAAGAACAGCTTATATAGAAATTTTATTGTCAATTAGACTGAAGTGGTATGAAACAGCTGACCGCCCACTCTTAACGGTGTACTTCCTTTTTATGCTGTCTCTAAGCTGAAGTAACGTTCCTTTACTTCTTGCCTTTTGCACTTCTGAAGAAGCTCTTTGCCTGTGCTTCATGTCTCGGAGTCAAGTGGTTGTTGATAATGACTAACAGCTCTATCCTAGGAACCATATCTCAGCTTATCTTTGATTCAGGCACCGAGATTCGTTTCGGAGGAGAACTTTGCAAATATTACAGATAGTCCTCAAGTGAGCGACCACAATCGGGACTGGAATTTACGTTACTAAGTGAGGTGGTTGTTAAGTTAAGTCATGCCCAATTTTATGACCTTTTTCACTCCCGTCGTTAAGTGAATCACATGGTGGTTAAGCGAATCTGGCTTCCCCCATTGATATCTGTTTGATGACAGTCAGCCGGGTCAGTTGCAAGTGATCAAAATTCAGACACTTAGCCACCGGTTCATACTTAACGACGGTCGCAGTGTTCCGGAAGGGGTCACGTGGTCCCCTTTTACGAGCTGCCGATCAGCAAAGTCAACGTGGAAGCCAGATTCACCTAACCATCAGGTTCCTCACTTAACAGCTGCAGTGAGTCGCTTAACAACGGTGGAGAGAAAGGTCGTAAAATGGGGCAAAGGTCGCTTAACGATTGTCTTGCTTAGCGGCATAAATTTTCGGGTTCAGTTGTGGTCGTAAGTCGAGGACGACCTACCTGCTTCTGCAGCTCCCACCGCCGCTCCGTTCAGTTCTCCATCCTGGCCTCTGAAATTGCTTGCCACTTTGCCAAATGTTAACTAACCGTTAAAAATGTCTTCCTTGAGGCTTCAGTGCTTTCTCCGTTTGCTGGCCGTGCTATTAAAACCAGCCACCCTGTTCCTACTTGAATTGCAGAATCAATAGCTCTTTCACTCACTTGCTTTGTTTTTATTTCCTGGACAGAGCTAAATTAAGCACACCGTTAGGGATGGCCTGTCTGCCGGACCGTAAATTAGACGTACCTCTCACCGTTAGGCCTTCTTAGATGCAGCCTCTGGATGTTGCCTAGCAGTTGCCAGCTGAAATAAGTGCCTTTATCGATTTCTCTCTTCACGCTAATAAGGACACCTATGTCTGTTTCCTACATACACACAAACACACCGCCGTTTCCACTGCTGCTTTAATTGTGAACTGTTTAGGGCAGTATTTCTCAACCTCAGCAACTTTTAAGGTGTGTGGACTTCGGCTCCCAGAATTCCCCAGCCAAAGTCGATACACTTCAACTCCCAGAATGCCCCAGCCTGCATGGGTGGACTTCAACTCCCAGAATTCCCCAGCCAGAATGGTTGGATCTCAGCTCCCAGAATTCCCCAGCCTGCATGCATGGATTTCATTTCCCAGAAGGCCCCAACCAGCGTGGATGGACTTCAGCTCCCAAGAATTTCCCAGCCAAAGTGGATACGTTTCAACTCCCAGAAGTCCCCAGCCCGCATGGGTGGACTTCAGTTCCCAGAATTCCCCAGCCTTCATGGGTGTTCAACTCCCACAATTCCCCAGCCAGAATGGTTGGATCTCAGCTCCCAGAATTCCCCAGCCTGCATGCATGGATTTCATTTCCCAGAAGGCCCCAGCCAGCATGGGTGGACGTCAACTCCCAGAATTCCCCAGCCAGAATGGATGGATCTCAGCTCCCAGAATTCCCCAGCCTGCATGCATGGATTTCATTTCCCAGAAGGCCCCAGCCAGCATGGGTGGACGTCAACTCCCAGAATTCCCCAGCTAGTTTGGGTGGATTCAATTCCCAGAATTCCCCAGCCTGCATGGGTGGACTTTAGTTCCCAGAATTCCCCAGCCTGCATGGGTGAATTCCAGCCTCCAGTATGCTGGCTAGGGAATTCTGGGAGTTGACGTCTACACACCTTAAAGTGGCCAAGGTTGGAAAAACACTGGTTTATAGCTTTCAGTCTCAGAAGATATTTTCTTTACAAAACATCATTCCTTTTTACTGCTTTGTAAAAGAAAACAGAAAAGGCTTTTCATAGGGTTTTCATGCTGCATTTGTGCTTGAGTTCAAATCCACCCAGTCTATTGGCCAAAATAGAAGTCACTCCGTTTTTTATTTTTATTTTTTAAATGGGAAATGTTGCCACACGCTCACCTTCTGCCAGCGTTGGTAGCGAATCCACATTTGTGTTGCTTCCCTCGTTTAAAAAAAAAACAAAACAAATCCATCTTGGATTTCTGTCCGCAGTTTCGACCTGGTCACGAATGGCGGGATAGCCGTCGTTCTGCGTTTCGAACGGGCGCCCTTCATCACGCAGGATCACACGCTCTGGCTGCCCTGGAATCACTTCTTCGTCATGGAGACCATCGTCATGCGACACGAAGAAAACGACATCCCCAGTTGTGACTTGAGCAACTTTGCCCGGCCAAACCCGGTGGTTTCCCCCACTCCGCTGACCGCCTTCGCCAGCTCCTGTTCCGAGCGAGGCCCCATCGTGCCAGAGATCCAGGTAAGAACGGCGGGACTGCAAAGAGCATTCCAGATGTGGGCCATCCTTGGCAAATTCAGGGACCAGCATCCGTCGTTTCTCTCCTCCGCTCGAAAGACAGGCGAGTCCTCCGCTTACAACGGTTCATTTAGTGACCACTCGGAAGTTACAACAGCACTGAAAAAAGGACCGTTTTTCACACTTAGGACCATTTATTTATTTTATTTTTAAAATTTATAAGCCGCCCCACTCCCGAAGGACTCTGGGCGGCTAACAATAAAAAAACACATAAAACATAACAAAACAACAGTACAAAGACAGTCATCCAGGGGTAAGGTTTTATAAACCCCAGGCCTGCCGGAAAAGCCAGGTCTTAAATAGCTTACGGAAGACCAACAGGGTGGCAGCGGTCCTAATCTCCGGGGGGAGCTGATTCCAAAGCGTGGGCGCCATCACAGAGAAGGCCCTCCTCCGCGGCCCCGCCAAATGGCACTGCTTGGCCGACGGGGCCTGAAGGAGGCCCAGCCTGTGGGATCTAACCGGACGTAGGGAACCGGACGTAGGGAATTGCAGCGTCCCCAGGGTCACGTGATTTACATTCGGAGGCTTGACTGCTGGCTCTCATTTATGACGGTTGCAGAGTCCCGGGGGGGTCATGTGATCCCCTTTTGCGACCTTCCGACAAGCAACCGGATTCACTTAACAACCGGGTTGCTCGTTTAACAACTGCAGTGACTCACCAGTGGTGGCAAGTAAGGTCGTAAACTGGAGCGAAACTCCCTTTGCAAAGTTCTCGCCACATAAATGTGGGGTTCAGTTGTGGTGGTAGATTGAGGACGACCTGTGGGATCCACACGATCCCAGAATGAAAATTCCGCTTTCGAAAGCCAGTCGGTTCACGGCCAAACACTCACAAGGGCAAGAGAGTTTGCGGGATTGTGGTTTTTCACCGTCTTATCAGGAAGGCAGAGACCACTAGAGAAGCTGGTCTTTCAAAACCATGAAGGGCTGGCTGAGATCAACACAAACCTACAAAGTAAACAAAATAATGGCCAAAAAGAAGCCATCTTGAGATGTCTCATAACCTGATGACAGCGAAGAAATTTGCTGGCGATGATAGAAGAGAATATTTGTAGCTCAGGGTTGAAATGAGGGGTGCTTGGTGCTCTCTGAGCTGGGTGGTTTTCTTGCAGACCTTTCATGACCCAACTAGGTAACATCATCAGTGACAGAAGAGAAGGGGGTTGTGGAGAGGAGGAGGAGGACTGTGTTGTCCTTGGTGCTGTCTGAACTTGGTTTGTTGAGGGTGCTTCATTATTCAACTAGGGAGCATCATCAGGGGTAGAAGGGAGTGGGGTTTGTGAGGAGGGGGAGGAGGAGGACTGTGGGGTCCTTGCTGCTCTCTGAGCTTGGTTGTTTTCTTGCAGACATTTCATGACCCAACTAGGTAACCTCATCAGTGCTAGAAGGGAGTGGGGTTTCTGGAGAAGAGGAGGAGGAGGAGGAGGAGGAGGAGGAGGAGAGGAATGACTTTGGGGTCCTTAGTGCTCTCTGAGCTGGGTGGTTTTCTTGCAGATGTTTCATTAACCAGCTAGGTAACATTATCAATGCTAGAAAGGGGTGGGGTTTGCAGAGAGGAGGAGGAGGAGGAGGAGGAGGAGGAGGAGGAGGAGGAATGACTGTGGGGTCCTTGGTGCTCTCTGAGCTGGGTGGTTTGCTTGCAGACCTTTCATTACCCAACTAGACAACATCACCGATGCTACAAAAGAGTGAGGTTTTCTCCCTGTTTATATACAGTAGCTTCTCCTGTCAGCATTGGTGGGAAGGTTGTTGTTTTCTTTTTGTTAGCTCCTTGACCGACAGGGAAGATTGGGTAAATAAACATCTGCAAGAAAACCAGCACCAGGCGCCCCACAATTTGCCGACAGCCGTGTCATTCCCATCAGATCAAACAAGACCGAAACCCGAAATAATCCAGGACAAAAATGCCTGCTTTATTTATTTATTTATTTATTTATTTATTTATTTATTTATTTAGGAGACTTATATACCGCTTTAAGTGCAAGCACTCTCTAAGCGGTGTACACCAGTAAGCAATGTATATATATATATATATTTACATTGCCCCAACAATCTGGGTCCTCATTTTACCTACCCCGGAAGGATGGAAGGCTGAGTCAACCTTGAGCCGGTGAGATTTGAACTGCTGACCTGCTGAACACAGCCAGCTAAAGTGACCTGCAGTGCTGCACTCTCACTGCTGCGCCACCTCGGCTCTTAATATATATATATATATATGCAGGTCTTGGTGTAGGTGTATTCAGGTCTTGGTTTGCCCATGGAAGGCAGCCAAGGTTCATTTGGTCGTTACTTCTTCAGCTGTGATTTTTTCTTTTTTCTTTTTAATTTCCAGGCCTTACAAGAAGAGATTAAAATTTCAGGGACCAAAATCAAGCTAAGCTACCTGAGCAGTCGTACGTCCGGCTACAAATCGGTCCTGAGGATCAGCTTGACCCATCCCACCATACCGTTCAACCTTATGAAAGTCCACCTCATGGTGGCGGTGGAAGGACGCCTCTTCCGAAAGTGGTTTGCTGCAGCTGCTGATCTCTCTTATTACTTCATCTGGGACAAGACGGATGTCTACAATCAGAAGGTGTTTGGGTTATCCGAAGTCTTTGGTAAGATGGCGTTTCAGTCTCTGCCTTTATATCTTTGGCAGCTGCCGAGAAAGTCGCCACAGTGCTAGGCTGCATTAACAAAAGAATAGAATCATGATCACGTGAAGTGTTAGTACCGCTTTACAAGGCCTTGGTAAGGGCACACTTGGAATACAGCATCCAGTTTTGCAAAAAGGATGTTGAGACTCTAGGAAGAGTGCAGAGAAGAGCAACAAAGATGATTAGGAGACTGGAAGCTAAAGCATATAAGGAAAGGCTGCTGGAATTGGGTAGGTCTAGTTTAATAAAGAGAAGGACGAGGGGGGACATGATAGCAGTCTTCCAGTATCTCAGGGGCTGCCCCAAAGAAGAGGGAGTCAAGCTATTCTCCAAAGCACCAGACAAGAAGCAATGGATGGAAACTAATCAAGGAGAGAAGCAACCTAGCACTAAGGAGAAATTTCCTGACAGTTAGAACAATTAACCAGTGGAACAACCTGCCTCCAGAAGTTGTGGGTGCTCCATCACTGGAGGCTTTTAAGAAGAGACTGGACAGCCATTTGTCTGAAATGATTTAGGGCAGTGGTTCTCAACCTGTGAGTCGGGACCCCATTTGGGGTCGAACGACCATTTCACGGGGGTCGCCAAACAACGCAGTCCGCCATTTTTTCCCCCTTTTCCTTAGCTGTGCTACTCCCTTTTATTCTATTGGCTTTTGAAAGCCAATAGAATAGACTCTCTTGAATAGAGTCTAATTCTATTGGCTTTCAAAAGCCAATAGGAATTGTCCAGGCTGTCTCTGCCCTGCTGAGCCCGCCAAAAGTCCCATTCTGCAAACGGTGCTGCACCAGTTGAGTAGTCCTCGACTTACGACCGGTTGAGTAGTCCTCGACTTACGACCGGTTGGGGATCGCGGCATTAAAAAGGTTGAGAACCACTGCACTAGGTGGTAGCAAAGACCTGCAGAAAAGTTTGACTCTTTGCTACCACCTAATGGTTGTCAGAATTTTTGATGCCCAGATATTATAGCCCTATAGCAGGAGTAGTCAACCTTGGCTCTTTTATGACTCGTGGACTTCAACTCCCAGAATTCCTGAGCCAGCATGGGGGAACGACGGCCCCTTCATGACTTGCGGACTTCAACTCCCAGAATTCCTGAGCCAGCATGGGGGAACTATGGCCCCCTCATGACTCGGGGACTTCAACTCCCAGAATTCCTGGGAGTCCTGAAGTCCTGACATCCACGAGTCATAAAAGAGCCAAGATTGCCTACCCCTGCCCTATAGTATACTTTTCTTGAGATGGGGCATATAAAGGGTTCGATCTAGTTCGGGGTTAGGCAACCTTGGCTCTTTTATGACTTGTGGACTTCAGTACCCAGAATTCCTGAACCGGCCATGCTGACTCAGCAATTCTGCGAGTTGAAGTCCACGAGTCATAAAAGAGCCAAGGTTGCCCACCCCTGATCTAGTCGCATCGGTTTTATTTTCTTGTGTTTATTTGTTTTATTTTCTTTTGTTTCCTTGGGACCCTTTTCACAGCTAATCCGGGCTGTGTTCTGGACTGTCTTTTTAAAAGATATACTGCTTTAAAGCTGTTAATATGGACTGCTTTCTTTTCTCTCTTTTTTTTCTTTTTCTTTCCCGTTCTCTCTTTCTCACTTCCCAGTCTCAGTGGGCTACGAATATGAATCGTGCCCTGATTTGATCCTGTGGGAGAAACGGACGGCTGTGCTTCAAGGTTACGAAATAGACGCTTCCAAACTGGGAGGGTGGTCTCTGGATAAACACCATGCGCTTAACATCCAAAGTGGTACGTTTGTTTGTTTGTTTGTTTGTTTCTACATGCTTCATATTTCTTAATCACCCGTCTGCTTTTGGGATCAAAACTGTAGTTAATTGCTAGTCCTTGGCTAGTCCTTGAGCCATGAGTGTAACAGAGCCTGCTTTTGTGATTGTAAGTTGTGAAGGTTGGTCACTTAACCACAGCAATATAGCAATCCCCAGCTTTCCCAGCTTGGCGGCCTCGTTGTGCAGGATCCGAGGTGTGGCTTGGTTAAAAAAAAAAATGCAAGAAACGCAGAAGTTGCCTTTAAGCTTGACATTTTTATTCAGCTGAACAAAGACAGGCCCCTCTAATAGAGAGGAAGCCCCGAATGACAAAAAATAAATAAAAATCCTTGTATTTATACTTTTTGATTACATAAGCAATCCACCCAGCAAAGCTGGCATTCATAAAGAATTCACCTAGAAAGCCTGGCACACTATAGATAAGAGGAAACAGAATTTATGACTTGTAGACTTCAACTCCCAGAATTCCTGAGCCAGCATGGCTCACCTTGGAAACCTCCCCCTTTCCCCTCAGCATGGCGGGCTCAGGAATTCTGGGAGTTGAAGTCCACAAGTCATAAAAGAGCCAAGGTTCCCCATACCTGTCATAAGGTCACTGAGTGTTCTCGGGTGTCTTGGGACATTAGGTGACCTTCCACGACTCTGCAAGTACCCAGAGACAGTGGGGCCATCTGCACGTATTCACAATCTATGCTTTTTCCTGATTCCTGGTCAATAGCCCAGCCTAGCCCGGCACATTGTGCAAGTGGTGTGCATGAAATTCAGATGAATGCATCTTCGCGCACAAGTGGAGAATGCTTGCACTCGTGCACGCAGCTCCACTTGCATGAGGATAAGCGCCCTGTTCATGCAAGTAGAGCTTCGCACGAGTAGAGTTTCATACGCGCACGGTTGACCATCTCCCCCCCCCCCCCGCCGGCCTGGTTTTGAACAGGCCACAGCCCGGGGATTGGGGACCTCTAGATGAAAAACAAAGGAGATGTCCCATTACAAGAATGACCGAGAGTATATACAGGTAGTCCTCATCTTATGAACACAATTTCATTGCCAAGCGAGACAGTTGTTAAGTGAGTTTTGCCCCATTTGATGATGTATCTGGCCACCGTTGTTATGTCAAACCACTGCCGTTGTTAAGTGAGTCACAAAATTGTTAAGTGAATCTGGCTTCCCCGTGGATTTTGCTTGTGAAAAGGTTGCAAAAGATTCTGGTGACTTTACTGACACTGCAGTTGTCACCAATGTGACTCCATTGTCAAGGGTGTGAATTTTGATCGCATAACCCACGGGGATGCTGTAACAGTGTGAAAAACGGTCATAAGTCGCTTTTCCAGTGCCGTTGTAACTTTGGCCACTGAACAAACTGCTGTAAATTGAGGGCTACCCATATTTCCCCCAAAATAAAATCGGGTCTTATATTAATTTTTGCTCCAAAAGACACGTTGGGGATTATTTTGCAATTATTTGGGGGGGGGGAATACAGTACTAAATGCGTCCATCCGGTTGACGATCTTAACTGGGGCTTATTTTTGGGGGTGGGGCTTATATTACGAGCATCCTGAAAAAAATCATGCTAGGGCTTATTTTCCAGTTAGGTCTTATATTCGGGGAAATACGGTACTAAATGTGTCATCTGGCTGACGATCTGAACTGGGGCTTATTTTGGGGATAGGGCTTATATTACGAGCATCCTGAAAAACCATGCTAGGCCTTATTTTCCAGTTAGGTCTTATTTTGGGGAAAACAGGATAGCTGCGCAGGCCAATTGCTAAGTGCCTGAATTTTGCTCGTTGTGCTCAAATCCCAGTGGAGCTGCCTCTCGGTGCAAAGTCTGCCCATCCCCTTTGTGTTTGCCCTCCAGGTATCCTGCACAAAGGAAACGGGGGGAACCAGTTCATCTCCCAGCAGCCCCCAGTCATAGGAAGCATCATGGGGAATGGACGCCGAAGAAGCATCTCCTGCCCGAGTTGCAACGGCCTGGCGGATGGCAACAAGCTCCTGGCCCCCGTTGCCCTCACCTGCGGCTCCGACGGCAGCCTGTATGTTGGCGACTTCAACTACATCCGGAGAATCTTCCCTTCGGGAAATGTCACCAATATTTTGGAGTTAAGGTATCGTGAGTGTCTTGTTGCTTTGGTGTCCCTCAAGGTGATGTTCTCGAAGGAGGAAAGCAAGAACAAAATGTTTCGGCGGCGACATGTAATGAAACATTTTGATGAAAAGAAGGACTAGGGCAGGGCTAGGCAACCTTGACCCCTTCATGACTGGTGGACTTCAACTCCCAGAATTCCTCAGCCAGTATGGGGGAACTAGGGCCCCTTCATGACTCGTGGACTTCAACTCCCAGAATTCCTGAGCCAGCATGGGGAAACTATGGCCCCTTCATGACTTGCAGACTTCAACTCCCAGAATTCCTCAGCCAGCATGGGAGAACTAGGGCCCCTTCATGACCTATGGACTTCAATTCCCAGAATTCCTAGCCAGCATGGCTCAGCTTGAAAATTCTCCCTTTCCCCTCAGCATGGTTGGCTCAGGAATTCTGGGAATTGAAGTCCACGAGTCATAAAAGAGCCAAGGTTGCCTACCCCTGGACTAGGGTGGTGCTAGGTCACCAGATTATAAAAAAGATGTTGAGACTTTGGTTAAAAAAAAAAATGCAAAGAAGAGCAACTAAGATGATTAAAGGCCTGGAGACAAAAACGTATGAAGAACGGTTGCAGGATTTGGGTTTGGCTAACCTAGAGAAAAGAAGGACAAGGGGGGACAGGATAGCAGCCTTCCAGTATCTGAGGGGCTGCCCCAAAGAAGAGGGAGTCAAGCTGTTCTCCAAAGCGCCTGAAGGCAGGACAAGAAGCAATGGATGGAAAGTAATCCAGGAGAGAAGCAACCTAGAACTAAGGAGAAACTTCCTCACAGTTAGAACAATTAACCAGTGGAACGAGTTGCTTCCAGAAGTTGAGGGTGCTCCATTTTCAAGACGAGACTAGACCACAATTTGTCCAGAATACAGATAGTCCTTGACGTACAACCACAATTGAGCCCAAAGCTTCTGTTGCTAAGCGAGACAGCTGTTGAGTGACTTTTGCCCCATTTTTGACCTTTCTTGATACCGTTGTTAAGTGAATCAGTGCAGTTGATATTTCAGTAACGCAGCTGTTAAGTGAATCGGGCTTCCCCCATTGACTTGGTTTGACAGAGGGTGGCAAAAGGGGATCACGCGAATCCGGGACGCTGCAACCGTCATAAATATTGACTCGGTTGCCAAGCGCCCAAACTTTGCTCACTTTTTTGACCATTTTTCGTACTTACAACCATTGAAGCATTCCCACGGGGCTTGATCAAAATTCGGGTGCTTGGTAACCGACTCATATTTATGACAGCAGCAGTAAGTGTAATTCAGAACTTCATTGTGAGTGGGCCTGCTAGAAGCCAAAGTCTTAGCAGAAGAAGACTTTCACCTAGCCTAGGGGTAGGCAACCTTGGCTCTTTTATGACTCGTGGACTTCAACTCCCAGAATTCCTGAGCCAGCATGGGGGAACTATGGCCCCTTCATGACTCGTGGACTTCAACTCCCAGAATTCCTCAGCCAACATGGGGGAACTATGGCCCCTTCATGACTCAGGGACTTCAACTCCCAGAATTCCTCAGCCAGCATGGGGGAACTATGGCCCCTTCATGACTGGTGGACTTCAATTCCCAGAATTCCTGAGCCAGCATGGAGGAACTATGGCCCCTTCATGACTCGTGGACTTCAACTCCCAGAATTCCTCAGCCAGCATGGCTCAGCATGGAAACCTCTCCCTTTCTCCTCAGCATGGCTGGCTCAGGAATTCTGGGAGTTGAAGTCCACGAGTCATAAAAGAGCCAAGGTTGCCTACCCCTGATCTAACAAAACCTTCTAACCACGTTGATGAAGGATAGTTGATGTCGATCCCTGCCAACCAAGGATAGGAAAATAGAAGAATTAATAGTCTTAGTATCTAAGATTCCCATTTTAGGTTCTGGAAAGAACAACCCTTTGTAAAAGCCACTTCTACAATGCAGGTAGACCTGGACAGTTCAAAAACCATTCAAAGTTTCAACGGCACTGGAAAAAAAGTCACAACCATTTTTTCACACTTCTCAACCACTGCAGCATCCCCACAGTCACGTGATCAAAACTCAGACGCTTGGCAACTGACTCATATTTATGACGGTTGCAATGTCCCGAGGTCTTTGCTTCAATGGGAAAGCCAGATTTGCTTTCCCATTGAACAACGGCAGCGATACGCTGAACCTCTGTGGCAAGAAAGGTCATAAAATGGGACAAAAACTCCTTTAACAAGTATCTCGCCGAGCAGCAGAAGGCTTCAGCTCATTCGTGGTCGTAAGTTGAGGATTCAACTGTACTTGTGCTCTTTTTTCTGCTGAGCACCCAAGTTGAAGAAACTTAAAAAGGACCAGGAATCTGGTTGACTTTGGCTGAGCGCCATCCAGAGGGATTTTTTAGATTTGGGAGCTAACGTGGTTTTCCTCCAGGCCTTCTCCACATGTGTTCCCTGCAAGAGGAAGGCCATTAAGTGTGGTTACTTCAGCAAAGATGGAGAAACAAATGCCCAGAATTCCCAAATCCACAGAGTTAAAGGGGGGGGGTTTCGCAAAGATTGCAACAAGGCAAGTTTTGTGAAGCTCGTTCAGGGCCACCGAGCTCAGCCTAAACATTGGCTTGGCAGTCTTTCTCCCTTCCTCTCTCCCCCCCCCCCACACTCTCTCTCCTGGGGCAACCTGGGGACTTTTGTGCAACAAAACTTAAAAAGAACCATTTTTGCCCACAAGGATACAGCTGCCAAATGGCCTCTTCCATGAAACATAGAGACATACACTGACTAGTGGGGTAACTTAAAAAAAAAAAAATTGCAATTTTGCAATAAACATACAGGATAGCCTCTTGCTATCTCTTGGACCAGGGGTAGGCAACCTTGGGTCTTTTATGACTTGTGGACTTCAACTCTCAGAATTCCTGAACCAGTCATGCTGAGGGGAAAGGGAGAGGTTTCCAAGCTGAGCCACACTGGCTCAGGAATTCTGGGAGTTGAAGTCCGCAAGTCATGAAGGAGCCATGATTGCCCCATGCTGGCTCATGAATTCTAAGAGTTGAAGTCACAAGTCATGAAGGGGGCCATAGTTCCCCCATGCTGCCTCAGGAATTCTGGGAGTTGAAGTCCGCAAGTCATGAAGGGGCCATAGTTCCCCCCCGCTGGCTCAGGAATTCTGGGAGTTGAAGTCCACGAGTCATAAAAGAGCCAAGGTTGCCTACCCCTGTCTTGGACTTTAATGTGAATTTAGCAACCCCATGTAACTCACGTGAGCTAGCAAAGCATTGTAAATACAGGTAGTCCTCAACTTAACAACCATTCATTTAGTGATTGTTTGAGGGAACAGCAGTACTGAAAAAAGGTGACTTACGAACGTTTTTCACACCGACGGCCATTGCAGCATCCCCAAGGGTCATGTGATCAAAATTCAGACGCTTGGCAACTGGCCATGCTCTCTAAACATAACACAACATAACACAACAATGGATTTATATAACAACAATCTAGCTACGTTATATTTCATCCAGCCAGTATCAGACAAAATGGCATTTCCCCCCCCCCCATGGAAGGTATCAGCGTTATGAGGCAGGTCTCCGACAGGATGCCTGACATTTCCTTAGAACAGTTAACCAGTGGAACTGCTTGCCTCCAGACATTGTGGGTGCTCCAACACTGGGAGTATTTAAGAAGAGATTGCGCAGCCATTTATTTTATTTATTTATTTTATTTTATGAGACTTATATACCGCTTTCAGTGCAAGCACTCTCTAAGCGGTGTACACCAGTAAGCAATGTATATATATATATATATTTACATTGCCCCCAACAATCTGGGTCCTCATTTTACCTACCTCGGAAGGATGGAAGGCTGAGTCAACCTTGAGCCGGTGAGATTTGAACCGCTGACCTGCTGAACACAGTCAGCTAAAGTGGCCTGCAGTACTGCACTCTAACTGCTGCGCCACCTTTGTCTGGAATGGTACACGTTTTCCTGCCTGAGCAGGGGGTTGGACTAGATGACCTCCAAGGTCCCTTCCAACTCTGCTCTTCTGGTGTTCTGCCTGCTCTTTGAGAAGGATCGACCTCCAGTTTGCTAACTCTTTTATTGATCGCTGCCTTGTAGAGAGTGTGGTTGTCGCTGCCAACTTTTCAGCCTAAGCCGCAAGGCTCGGAGTTCACCTTCTAACCTTTTCTCTCTCTCTCCTCCTTCCTTCTTCTGTTCTGCCTTCTGCGTTCCTGCTCTTCTGTCAGAAATAAAGATTTCAGACATAGGTAAGACCGTTGGCCAATTGTGGGTGCCTTTTCTCTGTCCTGTTGCATGCTCTTCTTTTTTTTTTCTTCTTGTTGTTGCACTTTATAAAGTGAGTTAAGGTTGCTGGGCTGCCACGGATAAAGGAATACCGATTCACGGGTAAAATGCGTTTTATTTTTAACATCAGATCCTCCCGTGCTGTGTTGCACATCTAGCAACAAACGGGTAATATGCAAAGGAAATAAAAAATGGGAGCTCCTGAATTCAAAATCTGCAAGAGGAGTCACAAACTAAGCCCTTCCCCTTTTTGCGCACGTGTGCAAAAGGGGCGGGGCTTAGCTCACTATGCCACGCCTTCCTCTCTCATGAGTTTTGATCTCTTGCACTACCATCCTTGCACTCTAGCATAAACCTTGGTGTTTTTTAATTCGGGATCCTTTATATTTTTACATTTATTCGTTTGTTGCAAGAGATCAAAATGTTTATAGTTGGTTTTTTTTTTTTTTAAGGAGCCAGTTCTGTTGAAGGAAAACAACAGCTGGTTTTCCAGTGCAGAAAGTTATCTGTCCATAGAGGGGGAAAATTACTTTGTGCAACTCCCTGCCCGTTTTATATAATCTAATCTATTAAAAATATAAACATAAAGGCCCGTTTCCAACCTGCGATCACTTTTTCCTAACTTCCCACCGTGTTTCAGTCCAGCCACCACTGCCTTAAAAAAAAAAAAAAAAACAGAAAGAAATGTTCACCCACCAAGTTTGCAAGGTTAGCTAAGTTACTAGGCCTCAAAAATCAGGATGGGTTGGCTCGCTTTCACCTTCCTTCCTTCCTTCCTTCCTTCCTTCCTTCCTTCCTTCCTTCCTTCCTTCCTTCCTTCCTTCCTTCCGTTACATGCTGTGCATATCATTTATATCCGTACATATTATCTTTGGCAGATGTTTGTTTAAAAAAGAGCTATGCCATCTGGGCGAGGAACACTCCAGACCGCAATAAAGGAGAATATTTGTAGCTCAGAGTTGAAATGAGGGGTCCTTGGTGCTCTCTGAGCTTGGTGGTTTTCTTGCAGACATTTCATGACCTAAACTAGGTAACATCTTCAGTGCTAGGAAGGAGTAGATCCTTTTTAGCACTGATGATGTTATCTAGTTGGGTCATGAAATGTCTCAGAGAGCACCAAGGACCCCACAGTCTTCCTCCTCCTCTTCCTCCTCCTCCTCCTCCTCCATTCCCTTCTAGCATTGATGATGTCATCTAGTTGGGTCATGAAATGTCTCAAAGAGCACCAAGGACCTTACAGTCTTCCTTCTCCTCCTCCTCCTTCTCCTCCTCCTCCATACCCTTCTAGCACTGATGATGTTACCTAGTTGGGTGATGAAATGTCTCAGAGAGCATCAAGGACCCCACAGTCTTCCTCCTTCTCCTCCTCCTCCATTCCCTTCTAGCACTGATGATGTTACCTAGTTGGGTGATGAAATGTCTCAGAGAGCACCAAGGACTCCACAGTCTTCCTCCTCCTCCTCCTCTTCCTCCTCCTCCATTCCCTTCTAGCATTGATGATGTCATCTAGTTGGGTCATGAAATGTCTCAAAGAGCACCAAGGACCCTACAGTCGTCCTCCCCCTCCCCCTCCTCCTCAATTCCCTTCTAGCACTGATGATGTTACCTAGCTGTGTGATGAAATGTCACAGAGAGCACCAAGGACCCCACAGTACTCATCGTCCTCCTCCTCCTCCATCCCACAAACCCCATTCCCTTCTAGGACTGATGATGTTCCCGAGTTGAGTAATGAAACGTCTGCAAGAAAACCACCAAGCTCAAAGAGCACCCAGCACCCTTCAGACCAAACTTCCTTTTAACCAGCTTAGGTTTCACTTGGGCTGACGCAGCGGCAAGCCCAAATAAGCAGAAACCAGGTCTTTTCAAGTCTTCCCGTCCTTCGATTTTCCCAATCTACCGTATTTTTGCTTATTGCGTTGGCTTTTGGGCTTCACTCACGTTGCTGCGATGTAAGTTTTCCATTCTGGGGTATGCCAGAGATAAACAGATCCTTCTGCCCTCCCTTTTGCAGTCACAGCCCAGCTCACAAATATTATCTGACCGCCGATCCCACCTCTGGATCCATCTACCTCTCTGACACCAGCAGCCGTCGCGTTTTCAAGATCAAGTCAACGACGGTGATCAAGGACATCGTGAAGAACTCGGAAGTGGTAGCTGGGACAGGAGATCAGTGTCTTCCCTTTGATGACACCCACTGCGGAGATGGAGGAAAAGCAAACGAGGCTACCTTAACAAGCCCCAGGGGTAAGAGAGACCATTTTAAGAGGTGGGGTGGAATACAAGTGGTCCTCAACGTTCTTTTGTTTAAAAAAATATATTTTATTGATTTTTTTTAACATAAACACCTTAATACAGTGGTTCTCAACCTGTGGGTCGGGACCCCATTTGGGGTCGAATGACCATTTCATGGGGGTCGCCAAACCACGCTGTCCGCCATTTTTTTCCCTTTTCCCTAGCTGTCCCTCTCATTGGTGGCCACACCCACTTGGGGGTCACCACAACATGGGAAACTGTATTATGGGGTCACGGCATTAGAAAGGTTGAGAACCATTGCCTTAATATTTGGTAAACAGTGTGTTGCCTGGGCTTATATTTACAAAGTAGTCACAAACTATCAGTTTTTATATTCCAAAGTGCACATAATAGCTTTGCTTGATTTCCTCTTCTTCCACTAATATTCTCTTTGCCAGCCTTGAATTAATACCATTCTTATTAATTCAATAGGTAACAATTTAAATAAAAAAAAATTCTGAAATTTCTACCAATAGTGATCGCTTCAATATCATGCTTCTTTCCTTTCTTTCTTTCTTTTATAATATTTTATTAATTTTCTCATTTTACAATTATGTATTTAAAAAGCAACGTGATGACTGGGTTAATCAATAGTTCAATAGCATACATAAGTCTTTAGTATAAATCTCACGTTTTATTGATTTTTTAACATAAACACCTTAATATTTGGTAAACAGTGTGTTGCCTGGGCTTATATTTACAAAGTAATCACTAACAATCCGTTTTTATATTTCAAAGTCCGCACAATAGCTTTGCTTGATTTCGTCTTCTTCCACTAATATTCTCTTTGCCAACCTTGAATTAATACAATTCTTATTAATTCAATAGGTAATAATTTAAATATAATTTTTTCTCTGAAATTTCTACCAATAATGATCACTTCTATATCATGCTTCTTTTCTTTTTTTAATGATATTTTATTAATTTTCTCGTTTTACAATTAGGTACTTAAAAAGCAACGTGATGACTGGGTTAATCAATAGTTCAATAGCATACATAAGTCTTTAGTATAAATCTCAAGTTACAACATCAGATTTTTCTCTTTTTCCCTTAATATCTACTATCTCATATTAGGCTAATGCAGTTCTTATTATTATCAATATCATGCTTCTTTTCTGTCAGGTCATCTTGGTTGAATCCTGTTTACAATTCTTACTTAAATTTGTTTTCCCTACGATGTTCAAAATATTCTTACTGACTAAAAAAATTTCTCAAGGTTAATTGCATTTAAGTATTTAAGTCTATTTTCATATCTTAAAAAGTAAGTGAAAAAGACACCAAAGAAAAATAAAAAAAGAAGAGAGAAAGAAGAAAAAAGACAAAAAAAGGAAAAAAAGAATAACAAAATAATATACTACTTAAAATACATATCCCTCTTAAACTAGCATACATTTATTTCCAAGTAATTTTGTCTGTTCTTTTTACCTATCATTAAACCTGTGTTTAAACTTTAGATGTTCCATTTAATCAATCCAATCATCTAATCTTTTAACTCTATTTGAAACATTTTTTTTTAGTTATCTATTAGAATTTTCTTAAGATCGATTACAATTACGTCTGTCCATGAGCATCAGTGAGGGTGTGCCATATGTGCCATGATGTCCCCATGCAAACCCCATGACTTAACTAATTTACCTCAGACATCCTGACGCCATTTTTAATAGCAGTGTTTGTGTGGTCATAGCATTAAAAACATAGCCTAGGAGGTTGGACTAGAAGACCTCCAAGGTCCCTTCCAACTCTGTCATTCTGTTATTCGGCATCATTTTCATTGCAGGAGGACAGGGATGCATTTAACAAACAAAACAATAGGGGTCTTCAAACCTGGCCCTTTTATGACTTGCGGACTTCAACTCCCAGAATTCCTCAGCCAGCATGGGGGAATTATGGCCCCTTCATGACTTGTGGACTTCAATTCCCAGAATTCCTCAGCCAGCATGGGAGAATTATGGCCCCTTCATGATTCGTGGACTTCAACTCCCAGAATTCTTGAGCCAGCATGGGGGAACTATGGCCCCTTCATGACTCGTGGACTTCAACTCCCAGAATTCCTGAGCCAGCATGGGGGAACGATGGCCCCTTCATGACTTGCGGACTTCAGAATTCCCAGAATTCCTCAGCGAGCATGCCTGGCTAAGGAATTCTGGGAGTTGAAGTTCACAAGTCATCAAAGGGCCAAGTTTGAAGACCCCTGCTTTAAAATATGTATACTCTCACTGTAAAAGTGCATGAGAACTGCACAAACAGAAACCCATCTGCCTTTGTGAGGCTTAAATCCATTATTCATATTCGCTGAGGAACAGTGAGTCTGTGAATTGAATTTTAAGACTGTTGGGCTATGTTTTAATTGTTTTCTAAAATATCCCTGATACACATTTTTATTCACCTCTGACACCTGACATAGAGACGTTGAGAATCCCTAGACAACGAAATGGAAATTTTCCAATCATCCCAGCAACCAGAAACTTAAGAGTCCAGTAACCAGCACAGGTGGACACTGAGGTTATATGTGAGGAAACGTATCACACACTTCCATTGTCTACCCATGTCTTCCTATGGCCTACAAAAAAAAGTCCCTAATGAATTTCCATACCCCTGGTCAATTAAAGTCCTAACCCTGGTATAGGTGGTACCTGGCTCAGTAATAGTAAGTCCTAGTGGACAATCACCTAAATATGAGCCAGCCGTGTGCTGCAGCTGCCAAAAAAGCGAACACAGTGCTTGGCTGCATTAACAGAGGGATAGAATCAAGATCATGTGAAGTATTAATACCACTTTACAAGGCCTTGGTAAGGCCAGACATGGAATACTGCATCCAGTTTTGGTCACCACAATGTAAAAAAGATGTTGAGACTCTAGAAAGAGTGCAGAGAAGAGCAACAAAGATGATCAGGGGACTGGACGCTAAAACATGTAAACAATGGTTGCAAGAATTGGGTATGTCTAGTGGCAAGAAGGACTAGGGTTGACGTGATAGCAGTCTTCCAGTAATTGAGCAGCTGCCACAAAGAAGAGGGGGGGGGTCAACCTGTTCTCCAAAGTACCTAAAGGCAGGACAAGAAGCAACGGATGGAAACTAATCAAGGAGAGAAGTCCTACTAAATTTGTTTTTTTTTCACAGGCATCACAGTGGACAAATTTGGATTTATTTATTTTGTGGATGGTACAATGATCCGACGCGTTGACCAAAACGGAATCATCTCAACGGTCCTGGGTTCTAATGACCTGACATCCACTAGGCCTCTGAGCTGTGATTCTGTCATGGATATCTCTCAGGTAGGTACATGTGTCTCGTGTATAGATTTTTTTTTTCTGCCTCCGTATCGTCTTTTTCCCTTTTGTGTTCCTTCTCATAGTGGAAATGCCTCTTAACCAGTAAATTCTATTTTCTTCTGTTTGGTAGCTCTCCTTTTAAGCTGCATTATCAACTTTCTCTGCATAAATCTTTCAATACTATGATTTTTTTTCCCTCTTGATTCTTGGCATTACAGGCGGTCCTCAACGTACGACCACAATTGAGCCCAAAATTTCCGTTGCTAAGCGAGACATTTGTTAAATGAATTTTGCCCCATTTTACGAGATTTCCTGCCACGGTTGTTCAGTGAATCACTGCAGTTGTTAAATTAGCCACACGGTCGTTAAGTGAATCTGGCTCCCCCCATTGACTTTGCTGGTCAGAAGGTCACAAAAGGTGGATCACATGACCCCGAGACACTGCAGCTGTCATAAACACGAGTCAGTTGCCAAGCATCTGAATTTTGATCATGCAACCAGGGAGATTTTGCAACAATCGTAAGTGTGGAAAACAGTCGTAAGTCACTTTTTTCCAGTGCTGTTGTAACTTTGAATGGTCACTAAACAAACTGTTGTACAATGGTTAAAAAAAGCAAGGTTCTACATTTAGGCAAGAAAAACCAAATGCTCAGGTATAGTGTAGGGCACAGGTCGGCAACCTGCGGCTCCGGAGCCGCATGCGGCTCTTTGAGCCTTCCCCTGTGGCTCCCAGCCTCCTCTGACTTTGCAGAGAGAGACAGAGAGAGGCAATTGCGCTTCCCTGCTTCCTTCTCTCTCTCTCTCTCTCTCTCTCTCTCTCCCTCTCTCTCTCTCTCTGTGTGTGTGTGTGTGTGTGTGTGTGTGTGTAAAAGAGAGTGCACTCACAGTGTTCTCCGAGGAGCTGAGAAGCTTAGTGGGTGGAGCTCCTCCCTTTGCTGCTCTCTGCAGGAAGCAGGAAGGGCAGGAGAGAGCTAGCTAGCCCAGCTAGGCTGACTCAGGAATTCTGGGAGTTGAAGTCCATGAGTCATAAAAGAGAGGAGGTTTTCTACCCCTGAGCTTGTTGGACAACAGCTTGAAGCTTGCCAGGTGAGCAGCAGATGGGGGGGGGGGAGAAAGAGAGAGAGAGAGGGAGGGAGAGAGAGGGAGGGAGAGAGAGAGAGAGAGAGGAAAGAGAGAGAGAGAAAGAAGAGGAGTGGCAGACCAAGGGCAGATAGAGAGGGAGGGAGGGAGAGAGACAAAGAGAGAGAGAGACCCTTTTGACATCTAAAATGAAGATAACACTGCATATATCTTTTTTTTACCTTTGTGTGTATGTAATTTTATTCTCTTAAAGCATTCTCTTGGTGATCATTGTTTTAATAGTATGGATATTCCCAAGAGTCATATTTTACTTTTATTTTTAATGTGTGTGTGTGTGTGTGTGTGTGTGTGTGTGTTGGTATGTGGTGTGTGGTGTGTGGTGTGTGTATATATTATATTATATATATATATATATATACACACATACATATACACACATACATACATATTACATACATCACATATAGTAATACACATATACATACATACACACACACACACACGCTATAATAAAGGTAAAAAAGGATATATCAGTGTATCTTCATTTTATATATCACAAAAGGTTTTGTGCCTCCCGTTGTTTTGGTTTTTGGTGGGAACGGGTCCAAGTGGCTCTTTGAGTGTTTGGGTGCCTACCCCTGGTGGGTGTGGGTACCTTGCCAATATAGTAGTAACTGTGAGAGGGACCTCGGAGTCCTAGTGGACAATCACTTAAATATGAGCCAGCCGTGTGCTGCAGCTGCCAAAAAGGCCAACATAGTGCTAGGCTGCATTAAAAGAGGGATAGAATAAAGATCACGTGAAGTCTTAATACCACTTTACAATGACTTGGTAAGACCACACTTGGAATACTGCATCCAGTTTTGGTCACCACGATATAAAAAAGATATCGAGACTCTGGAAAGAGCGCAGAGAAGAGCAACAAAGATGATCAGGGGACTGGAGGCTAAAACATATAAGGAACGGTTGCTGGAATTGGGTATGTCTAGTTTAATGAAGAGAAGGACCAGGGGGGACATGATAGCAACGTTCCAGTATCTCAGGGGCTGCCACAAAGAAGAGAGAGTCAAGCTATTCTCCAAAGCAACTGAAGGCAGGACAAGAAACAACGGATGGAAACTAACCAAAGAGAGAAGCAACCTAGAACTAAGGAGAAACTTCCTGACAGTGAGAACAATTAACCAGTGGAACAACCTGCCTCCAGAAGCGGTGAATGCTCCAACACTGAAGTTTTAAAGAAGAGACTAGACAGCCAGTTGTCTGAATGGTATATGGTTTCCCTGCCTAAGCAGGGGTTGGACTAGATGACCTCCAAGGTCCCCTTCCAACTTTATTATTAAGTATGGATCATCGTCACAGTCACAGATGTTCAACTGGATTTGGCATTTTTGATCTACTATCGATTCCCTTACCCAGGACCTGGGATAGGGCAGATGTGGATGTTATGATGTATTACAGATATCGTCGTCGGAATGGAGCAGTTCTAGTAAGCCGCCTTTGCAATTGGACTATAGTTGATTTGTCAATGCCAATGTGTTCAAGTGGTGCTCCAGTTGTTTTGGATTGCACTAAGGAGCCTATTACTATTGGTACTTACCCTTGCTTGCTTTTTCCACAGTCTTTCTATTTCTATTTGTAGGTCTTTGTATTTTGTTATCTTCTCCAGTTCTTTCTCTTCTATTCTGCTTTCTCCAGGCACTGCCACGTCCACTATCCAGACTTTTTTGTCTTTCTTATCGACAATTGTTAAGTCTGGGGTGTTATGTTGCATGTGCTTGTCTGTTTGAATTTTGAAGTCCCAGAGCAGTTTAATTTTATCATTTTCTATGACTTTCTCTATTTTATGATCCCACCAGTTTTTGCTTACAGGCAAATGATATTTTTTGAAGATCTTCCAATGCACCATTGTTGCTACTTTGTCATGCCGCTGCTTGTAGTCAGTCTGTGCAATCTTCTTGCAACAGCTTATCAGGTGGTCCACTGTTTCTTCAGCTTCTTTGCATAGGCGGCACTTACTGTCTGTTGCTGTCTTCTCAATTTTGACTTTGTATGCATTTGTCCTTAGGCTTGGTCTTGTGCAGCCAGAATTAGTCCCTCGGTCTCTTTCTTCAATTTTCCTGCTCTTAGCCATTGCCAGGTTTTATTATTATCTGCTTTCCCAGCTTTTTTTTTCATGTATTGGCCATGTAGTGCTTTGTCTTCCCATGCCTCTATTCTGTTCTTCATTTAGTCTTTCTTGTAGGCCAGTTTGGTCTCTCCAGTAGTCAGTAAGC